CCACCTCCTGCACCACCAAAGCTTTACACATCCTAGAAAGCCTCAGTTTGCTCTTGAAGATTTCAGAGTGGGATTTCAGCAGCAAAGCATGACAGAAGTTTCCCCTTCTCTCACATCCTGGACCTATCCATGCCTCCAGCCAAGTCCCAAGTCCCAGTCAACACAAGCTTCCCAGGTACTTAACACTGCCTTTTTTCCTTGTTCCCAACAGCTTTGCCACTTCAATCCCTTAATTGTCAAGATCTGAATTTTTGCAGGATACACAGTTATTTTAATCTGTTAAGTGGCTCTGCTGCTATAAAACTGACAGGAATTTAATATCTAGAGACTGTCAACTGAATTCCAGGTGCTGAGGCTTTCTAGATGGCGATGATGCAGAAGGAAATGCAGGCTGGTGCAAGACACACAAGCACAAAGCTGGCAAGGGTTCCTTTGCATTGAGGTCTGACCCTGCAGGATGCTGAGCACCCCAGAGCACTTGGAGTAGGCAGCAAGGGTGCTGAGCCTCTCATCATCTCCCAGGAGCCATCCCCCAGCTGCACTTGAGCACAATCAGAAAGGAGTTGCTCCATTGCAAACACTACTACAAGTCAAGCATAACAGGTCACTTTTTTTAATAAAGGAAACTTTTCCTCCGTAGCTTTTCTCTTGCAATCAAGCCCGTGACAGACTCACTTTCCCTCCAGAGGCTGTCAGCTGTGCTTTAGCCATCCATCAGAGGGAGCAAACTAGCATGCAGGAGAGAATGAAGAAAAATAAAAACCCCAAACCCAACAAAAACTATCTTCCTGCCCCCCCCACACACACTGGTGGCCCTGAGCAAGGGAGCCCAGTTCCCTGCCAACCCCTCCCCACTGCAGGGCTCTGCTATACAGCCAGTGTCCCACTGTGGTCTGATACAGATTCACGAGGTGGAGGAGATGAGATGACCAAGGGGTTGTCAGACACCTACTCCTCTCCTGCTCCCTTATTACCATCCCCTGGGGCCACCCAGCCACAGCCTGGCACAGGGCACGGGAGCAGCACACCAGCAAAACCGCTGCAGAGCCAGCTACACGTACTCCTCACGACTAATTTAGGATTTTGCTTGTAATTAATCCCTCGTATCAGTTCCCTTCATTATTCCTTAATGTAATTAAGTTATTAGCCTGCATGTTCCCTCACCCCCCCCCCCCCCCCCAAAGCAGAGCAGTGGGACTTATCAGAGGGAGGCAGGGGAGATGCCAGGCAGCAGCCAAGATTACCAGAGCACATGCCAAGCCACACCACCTCCTCCCTGTGTGACTTCAGGGGGCTCACTGGCTGCCTGATTTTCCAAGAGGGTTGAACGATTCCAATTCCTCTGGAGTCAATAAGACCCACAAGGATACAAAGTTCAATTAGCCTCTCTGGGTCCTGGTTTATCCAGCCGGAAAACTGCTGGGACAAGGAGACAGGCTGGAACTAATTAAAGCTTGAAAAGTATTTCGAAATCCTCCGCCAAAAGGCAGGGAAGGCAGAAGGCATCAACAGGTCCCAGCTGATCCATGACCCCAACCAGCCCCATGTCCTTACACTCATCCATCAGACTGCTTCCCTGCAGGCTGAGTCCATGGCTGCTAACCAGGCACCCGGCCGGGCCATGCGGGTAATGGTCCCTTGGCAGAGGCAGGCACACTCCTATGGCTCCTCTTCCCAGCCAAGTCACAGGACTTTACAGCACTAATAGGGCTTGATCTGCCCTTTGGAAAAGCAAAAAAAACCAACAATCCCCAAACCTCAAGCAACAGCAGTAAAAACAGCATTGGAGGGACTGGGGAAGTTGACCCAGGAACAATTTCATGGTCCCAAACACTGTGAGTGATTCTCTTCCATACCCTACCAGTCCTGCAAGGTTACTAAACTCCACAGACATGAGGGAGTCCCACACCCTAAAATCCAGCCTCAACCTGCTCCCACCGCTCTGGCACATACCACCAGCAGCTGCAGGCAGCAGGAAGGAGGAGGAGGGAAAGGAAGTGACAGGAATTGAGGGGAGCAAGGGCTGCCAAAAAGGGGAGCCCTCTAAGCCTGCCTGCCACCGGGCAGCAGCAAGAGATCCACAGGGATGGATTACAGGGGAATACAGAAAAAAAAGCAAACACAACTGGGGAGGTGAAGCCAAGTTAATTACAAGGGCTGTGCCTACCTCTTCAGGCACAAGCAGCTTGGGAAAGCTCCCAAAGCGCTGTTAGACCTGCCCCAAATGCCTGCTTCCACTGCGACCACGAAATGACAAGCCAGCAGCATGTTTCTGGTGCAGGAAGGACTGAAAAACTGCATCAGACCCCTCACACCAAGGTCCTGGTCCTTGGAGACTTTGCCTACCCCAATATTGGGTTCTCCAGCTATAAGAAAAGCATCACAAGCCTTCCTTCGGGAAGCTGAGGCCTGGATCTTGCACAGGATTTGGAATAAAGGAAGGGAGGGAAAAGAACCACAAATAACAGTGATGGATGGGCACCCAAACAGCCAAGGGCAGCAGCTCTGCTGTTGGCCCTTGGCAAGGCACCAACATGCCACAGCCAGCCAGGAGCTTGGGCACTCCAGCCTCCCAGCACTGGATGTGTGCCATGAGCCCTGCCAGGAGACAGGCATGGGCAGGAGGCAGCATTACCAGTTGGAGCCTAAGTAAGAAGGGTCTAAAGGTTAAATCTACATGAGGCATGATATATAGTGTGCATATGTTCACAGAAATACAGCTCAACTGAGAGAGAAGGCAATAGTGGGGAGGTGGGGGGGAAACACGTTGGAAAACACTGCCAGGAAAGTTTATGTGGATTTGCTCAGTGGCAATGTTACAATGTTCGCACTACTGTTAGCAACTTCCACCTCCTCTTGTTTCTCTAGGAATTTAGGAGGACAGCTCTTAACTGCTCAAGTTTTCATCTCTGGGAGCCAGTCCCGCCGGCCAGGGCAAGGGGACACACCACCAGGCTCCCCTCCGGACTGCAGCATCCCTGTCTGTTGTACCCAAATCAGCTCTGCAGCCTTTCAGAGGTGTTAACTGGAGTGACACCACATCCCCATGCTCATAAGCAACTTACAAGTCATGTGCTCAAAAGCAGTTTTCAAAGCCAAAAAATGCAATGCATTAAAAAACAAAAAAGAATCTGCACTCTATGGATCTCAAGGGGATGCAACTGTTTTGACAGAAAATTCAGAAGAAATGAAGGAGAGGCAATTTAAGCAGTCAAATTGCTGGAGTTATGGCAACTTGGCAGTTGCAACTTCGAAACTCAGGGCCTGATCCTGTCTGATGGGAGAATTTCACTTCACCTACTGCAGGAGCCAAGACCAGCCCCTAAGAGCATAAGCAACCTGCACCCTGAGGTTGGGGGAGCTTTGAGTGGGAGCAGAGTCAAACGGGCTGCAAAATGGCAGCAATTCAGCTGCAGCTGGTACTAACTAAGAAGCAAGGTTCATTTCAAGGAGAATACAGGAGCCCCCCATCATATAGGGGAGGTCTTCTTTTGCAATTTTTAAGAATGCAGTTCTGATAGAAACCTATTGATGCCAAAGCCTAGTTATGGTTAAGAAAGCACTTGTCCTCTAGCTCTGCTTTCAGTGACTTATTGCCTTTCTCCTGCTTAAATAAATAAATAAATGTATATATTATTATTTATTTTTGGGGCCTGAAATTGCATAGATTCATTCCCTTCTGCTAGGATTGAAAGATTTCCGAAAGGCTGAAAAAAACCCTCTTCAATCATTTTTATTTAAAAAACATGGAAAACCAATAATTCCTCAGGATGAAAAATCAAAGTAAGCTTTATGAGTTCTGACTTTTTTTTCCAATCAGGTCGTTAATTCAGTTGCAGAGGTGACAGACACACATATAGGAGACTCTACAAAGATGTGGCAAACACTTATAGCTGTCACAAGTCACGGGCCAAACGCTGTTGGGTGTCACTGGTGCAAAAAGGGGGCTGAGGGCTCGCACTCTTCCTCTGCCACAGTAACCCTAATCTCAGAGTATTTTCAGGATCTGGGCTCTAACCCAGATTAACTAATTCAAGATTTACACAGTACAACTAAGAGCAGCATTTAATCCTTGTCCTTTGGAAAGTTAACCCTCGGCTAAGCCCCAGCAGCTCTCAGCCGCTGGGAGAGGACACAGGACCTGCAGAGGACACGGGACCTCGTTCAGCCGAAGCTGCTCGCAGATCTCGCTTTTCGCAGCGTTTGGGCAGCGAAACTCCTCTGATGCACTCGCTGTGTCGAATGAGATGCTCTTCGCATCTCTCCCGTGCTGTCACTCCGGTGCACTCCAGGGACTCAAACATGACATAGAAAGGCGCGATTGCAAACGCACCCTCCTTCCACCCAGGCTGGGACTCACAGGGCAGCATCCTGCCCGTCTCTAGTCTTCCATCACAACCAGCCACGAAAAGCCGCAGCGGTTTAACCGGACTCGGCCAGCCCGTGTACCCCAACCACGGACCACCTGAGTGCTCGCCGTCTGCTCCCCTCTCGTTTCAGCCCGGGGACAGGATCGAGCCCTTCGTCTTTGGGGCAGAGCTCGGAAACACGGCATAACCCACAGGGTAGAGGAGTCGCCGGTTCCCCACCCGCGACACAAACCACGCGTTTCGTTTTCTTGGGGCGCGCCGGTGTCCCCGCTCCCCAGGGTCCGGAGCGAGGGATGCTCGAAGTTGGCGGCGGGGCAGAGGGTCGGCACCGCCGGCGGCACCCGCGGCCGGGGGAGCCCCGACAGCCCCCGGTGGAGCGGGGGGGGAGGGCGGCGGGGGCTGCCGCTGTCCGGGACCGTGGGCAGGCGGGGGGCGGGGGGCCCGACCAGGAATGTATGGAAAGGGCCAGACCGCCCCCCCCCACCGCACAGGCACAGAGCCGGCACCAAACTTTAAGGGGAGCGTGATGGGGTCCCGAAAACCGCTGGGAACTTCTTCCCCGGGCAGCGGCGGCGTCGCGCCCAAGTCCCGCCGGAGCACTCCGGGCCCCGCCGCCCTTTCCTTTCTTACCTCCGGCGTGTGTCCCTCGGGCTCCGCCGCCTCCAACTTCCTCCGCGCCCCGAAGAAGAAGAGGAGGAGGGCGGCGAGCCAGAGCACCCCCATCAGAGACAGCGCCAGCCGCCGCGTCGGCCGCCTCATCCTCGGAGAAGGGAAAAGTCCGGCAGGGGGACAGGGAGGAGGCGAGGGGGAGCCGCGGGCAGCTCCGGGGGCAGCAGGAGCAGGGCTAGTCGGGGAGGAGGGTCTCGCCCGCCCGCCTCGAAGCCGACGATGCGAGTCCCGGGCTGTGCATGCTCTGCAGGGGAGGGGAGGGGAGGAGGAACAGGAGGAGGAGGTGCCGGGAGGAGGGGGGCTGGAGCCGGAGCCGCTCGCCGGGGAAAGGTGCGGCGGGCAGACCGGCGGGCTGGTACCGCAGGGGAATCGCAGGGCAGCCGCTGCCCTGTCTGCTCCCTGTCCGGGAGGCAGCTCCCGGGGACGGAGACACAGAGCCGGGGGGGGGGAGGGGCAGGGGGGGGGGGGGGGAGATGTGTGTGTATAATCGGGGACGGCCATCTCTCTCCCACGCACCGTGAGTGGGTCCGGGCCACTTCCACGCGAAAGGATGCGCGGGGCTGGGCTGCGCCGCTGCGAAGTTCGCCCAGGTCGGTCGGGGTCCCCGTCCCGGTCGTCGTCCGGCTCCGGGGCGAGGGGAGGCCACCGTTCAACAACACACAGAGGAGGCTCAGACATGATGGGAAGATTAATTTAACCAATTGAAACAGCAGGGGGATTTCAGGTAGGTGGAATTTAATTACTGGATTTGGAAGAGACGATGTGAGTCTCTGGAGCTGTCAAGAACACTTAAAAAATAAAATCATAATCATCAGCTATTGGTATGCCAGCAGCAGCTTAGTGCCAGGCCGTGGTCTCCTTCAGGAATGGCCCTCAGCTGTCATCCCTGTCCCATGGGATGTTCCTTGCTGGCTCCATACATAGCCCCAGCACAGCAGGCCTGTCCACACAGGGCAGCCAAAGTGGGAATTACAGACCTTGCTAAGGGGGAAAAAAAACTCACCACCACAACAGAGTAGGACTTCAGAAACAAGCTGCCTCATGTAGCTATCCCTGCTCACCTACCTGACACTGCTCTTCGGATCTTACCACTGACAAGTATTGCACAAGCTGAGCAAAGCCTTGCAGAAGACATTAGAGAATAAATTAAGTATTGGAGCAGATGTGAGTCATTCATGTTAGTACAAATACTATAGAACAAACACCATAAAAACAGGAAACCATGCATAAAGTAACATATGGAATGAAATGGAGATAAGATGTCAAATGCTGGAAAGTCCGATGCACATGTTGTAAACAACCTCTCCTATGCATTTCTCACACACTCCTCCTGGTTTTATTATTTTCTGCAGTTGTTTTCTGTCACTTGCTAATTTATCATTTGTGATCTTCATCCTCTGTCCTCCTCTGATTTATTTCCAGGGCTCCGTAAGCCCTTCTCCCCTAACATAATCCATGCCTCTCAGGCCCAACGTTCACAGAAAGATGCCCAGATAAAAATTTCATTAGCATCCACAAGAAGGGACATTTCTCTTTCTTTGTTTTAAAGCTGTGTGACTTTGAAACACCTTTACCAGAATGAGGAAATCCAGGTCTAGCAGACAGGCTTAGGCTGAACTTTGTTTTACAACACCGGCAGTGGTGCAGCCAGGCAGGAACAGAATTAAGCAGGTGGGAAGAGAGCAGAAAACCCTCATGCCCTGCTGAGCCACCAGCCTGATGCCACATGGGAAGCCCACACCAGCCTGAAAATGCAACCTGTTCCCATGGTTCACTTGTTGTGCTGATTAATGTTCCTCAGCCCCACGTTCAGGGTAGCTGGACCATCGCACTCTGCCACCATGAGACATCTCTGCTCAACCTAATGAGGACCTACAGGGGCTGCTCTCTTTCCCAAACTGTTGCCTTACACTTTTTCCTAACAGCTAAGGTGGAACACCTGAGAAGCTTTCAGCAGCTGAGGCACATCAGTGGTGGTTTTCACGTGGTTTGTAGTTGTCTTCTTACCTTGTGCCCACCCCAGCTATTGGTCAGACTGGTTGTTGCCTCTCATGCATCTCCTTTGGCTCAGGAATGGCTTTCTGACCAAAAAGATCATCTTGCCACAAGTAGAAAATAGCCACTGGTGTTTTCCTGGCCTGCGACGAAGCGACCTTGGCTGCTGTTACTCAGTGTTCCCCCAACACGTTTGCAGAGGGTGCTGAGCTTTTCCTAGCAGACCTCCCTCTGTGCTAAGAGAGCTTTTCCGGATAAAGGCACCTGGAGGGTGTTATCATTCAAAGCTGGATTAAAAACCTTGTCTTTTTTGTAGGTCAGACTTTCAGTGGAAGTTATGAAAAAATATAGGGGGGAAGTATAGAAAATATCAGGGAAATACATTACAAATTAGATTACAGGTAAGGTAATAAATAGGACATACCTGACAAAAATGCAATCAGATAATGGTTTCTTATTACCTTGAGAAACAACTCCCTCTGCTGAGGGAAAGCTTCACTGGCAGGGTTTGGTGCCATGATGGATAGCCTGCTGTGCCCGGCAGAGAACGGGAAAAGGCCTGACGCTTCCCTGCCGGCACTGTTGCCACTCCAGCAAGGAGAGGGATACTGAACAAATCCCCACTCCATACAGGTGTCCCATGATGAGGCAAGAGATTCGAGGAGCTCTAGTAATACATACTGTCTCCAAGGAAGTATATTCCTCCTGACTGTGTGCCTGTGTTCTGAGACAGACAGTATATCAAGCAGATGATGGTAACAGCTATTTAACCAAGAATAAGGCAAGAATACAAATCTGTAGGTTCAGAGTTGTTTGAAGTCATAGACTTTCAGAGACTCATGTTAAAATCCTACTGTAATTCCATTAAAAACATGGTAATAAAAAAATCTTCTGTTGTATTATTGACCCATATCTTTCCCATTTTTCTAATTTTTCATCTGGCAATCTCAGATGTTCCACAAGTGAGGTCCATAACATATTACCTGTTTTCAACAGAGAAGAATTTAAGGGCAATACAGCCAGAGGCAGAAAAAAAACCAGTCTAAGAAATGAGTGGTTAGCATTTGTTGGTATCAGCATTGAAAAGCTGATGAAAGTGATTGTTTCATAAAAGCAAAAATAGTAAATAATTTCTAAATGGAAAGGGGACTCTTCACAATCACAGCTTCAGGTGATGGCCCTTTGGGGTCCTCTGAGGAAAGGGTGGTAAGGGAAAGTAGCTCTCCTTGCTATTTGAAGGGCAACTGTAAAGCACATTTCAAGGGAATCTAATCTCACCAAGTCTACAAACCAGCTTGGCAGTGCTTCAGTGCAGTTTTTACCAGAAATACTCCTGGATTTGAGTTCGGTTCACATCTGATATGTCATCCATGGAGAAAAAACATGCTTCTTTTTCAAGAGGATCACAAATACTTCTGTGGTTTGTTCTGGGAAAATTGAAACGGGCTTAAACATATACATTCAGGAAATGGTCAGAGAAAAGGATCAAAATCTACCCGGAGTTGGGATGCTGAGGAGTCTCAACTGAAGGTGGAGCACGCTCGCTGAGTTCTGGCTGAAAAGGGGCTTATAGGACACGGAGCTCCACTGCCAGGGGAGGATCTGGTGTAGTCAGTGATTTGGGGCAGCCCACCTCTCACTGCTGTTCTTGGCAGTGCACCTTCCCCAAGAAGAGGTGCTGCTTGCAGTAGCAGATATATCAGAAAGAATATGTTTGTTTGCAAAAAAAGAGAGATCGGCTTTTGAAAGGGTCAGGGTGGTAATATGTGGTTATACAGGGTGATGGATTTCATTAAGTGGTCAATGTGGTTTGTGCTCCAGGCTTAGGGAAAGAAGCTCATTCAGAAGTTTCTCCCCCACCCCTGGAAGAGGGTGTGCTACCCTCACTGAATTTAACCATGCTGCAGACAGGTCCAGGAGAGGAGGGAGAGCACATCAAGCTGCTCCCAAATAGCTATTTTGGCAAGTTCTGAGCTTTGGCATGTTTCAGAAGGAGCCCAGCTGTCCCTTGTCACCCAGCAGCTGAGGTGGCAGTGTGGGTACGGAGCCTCCAGGAGAGCAGGCCAGCACATGTCCCTGGCCCAGGCACCACCCCAACAGCCCCAACCTGCTCCCAGAGATGACTCAGAAACCATTTGATACTCTTCTAGGGGTGGAGCTGTGCTTCGAATGTGAACAGTCATGTCAGTGACTTTTCCAGGTGTATATTTAATACTGGAACAAAATTTCCTTTTTGGATCTGTCGCTGTTTAAAAAGCCTCTGGGTCACTTGATCTGTTCCTAATCCAGTCAACGTGGGGAGAAGAAGGGGAGAAGCCAGCAAGTCCTTTGCACAGGAGCAAGGACAGATTGCTGCTTTGCCATGGGGGTCCTCCACCTCTGCACCACTTGACACTGCCATGCCTTGGCCCTGTGGCAAGTTGCTGCAAGGGTGCAAGTGTGTACTGAACCGGTGGTTCCCTGCCACAGCTACCATCACACACAGCCCTCAGGGTTGTGAAGAGCAGCAAGGGCTCTCTGCCACCTCAAAGAGAGGCATCCATGAAGGTTGTTGAAGATACCATGAACTGTATTCTATATTTTTGTTCCAGGTAAGCTCTGCCTTTGCTTTTGTGCTGTAATGGGAGCCAAAAAAAACCAGACCAGTGCTTATGTGAAGTTCTCCCTGTGTACCCTTAGAGAAGACTAGAAATGTTAGAGACAGCTCTGGCCTAATACCAAGAGAATTGTAAGTTAGAGTTCTTTTTAAAAAAGCAAAAACTTTATAGTTGGCTGTCTCCTTTCCCTTGCTGAGGTAACAGAACTGTAGTTTGTCCTACATCTGCAGCTAAAACTGGAGGGTCAAACATGAAGCTGTGAAGCACTCACGTTCTCCTCTTGGGTGATGATATTGCTCTGCACCTCCTCACCTACTGCTGCAGTCAGAAAGGGAAATGAGAGAGTTCCTGCAGGCTTTTTACCACTATTAAAGACATAAGCAGATCTCTTCCAGTACCTATAAAGGATTTTTTTTCTTTTTAATTAAACCACAAGCATTCTTCTCTAGCAAACTTTCCACGATGGCATCTCCAGTTAATTAAAGGTTTAAGCTGTCAGGAAATGCTATGCATTAAAAAAAAATAAAATAAAGAGGAGAGCTACTTTAATAGCAT